TCAGTTGAAAAGGAAAGTGCATCTTCTAAAGGTGTGTGCCCAATTTGTGTGTGTTTTTGCAGCAAGCCTGAATCTAGTCAAGTTCAATTTTTTTATGCTCAGCCTAATTTACCATATTGCACTTTGACATGATGCTGATATCATCACATTCTGCACTAAACATGTAATAATTTTGTTTTATCTTCAAATATGCATGCTGGCGAGCTTCTATCAGTAATCAGCCAAGCGCCAACAGCCAGCAGACCAGCTGTCAGTTGAGAAACATTGGCCTCCACTCGACAACCAGTTTCCCACTGATCATACCAGAGGAATTCAAGTTGGAAAAAGTCAATCTTCTTGAAAATCGACGGATTTAGTACCATGGCCAGGAGGATGTGCACTGGCATGGTACTAGGAACGTGTCAGACCAGCACAAGCTTTACCCCTTTTCGACATCCTGCCCGCCAGGTAGTGAACTTCCCTGCGATCCGATCAACCAGCGCTTGGAGAGTGGATGATGGAATTTGCCGAACTGACAGCGGCAGCCCTAGATATGGGATGGGGAAATTGGTTATGGGGCAGGACAGGCCGTCACCGATGGCCTCATTGCCGCAGGCTGGCATTGGGTCGGTGCAGTGGAGCACATCGAGAAATAAACGAAGCAGCTCATGTATCGTGCCATGATCCTGATTGTCTAGGTGACAGAAGATGACAATGTCATTGGCAAAGAGGGAAACGCTCAAGGCAATATGATGGTTGGTGAGGCACTGCAGGAACCCGTCTTTGACTACCCGCTGAATCAAAGTGTTCAGGACGTCAATGAAAATCACAAAGAGCATCAGCGACAAAGGGTCGCCTTGGCGGAGTACCAAATAACAATCATGACTAATTTTGAATATGAATACAATGGCATCAATTTTGTGAAACATAGCCCACATGTTATTAATTAAATTATTGGTCAAAGCATGAATTTGGGTAGGTCAAAATACGCCTCGCATATAGAAACATAGGGAGTAGTTTATTTCTCTTAAGTTTAAAATTAATTTATTGTAAACTAGGACATCCCCATACAGGGATCGAAAATTCTATATATTATATTTATATTATCCTCAAAATTAGAAAAGGAAAAGACTCAAAGAGGAATATGTTCCTAAAATGCTCAAGCTTACCACACATACCAGAATCACTGAAAGCAGAAGTTTGATTAATAAAAAGGCATACCCATTGAGTTTATGATATTCAAGATGATTTTGAAGCATCTTGAGATAGACTTCACAGTCTTGGTCTGTTGCCAATTGTACCAGCTTGATGGTTGAGTAATGAAGAAAAGAAATGGCCTAAGCATCTTGCTCGATATCCATTGATTTGTCAGGTTGATGTCAGGCTGGTTTACTAATACTTCCCACTCTTCATGAAGTTGTTCTGTAACCTTTCTGATAAGATGGTATCTTCTCCATATTCGCTGGCAGAAGTAAAACAGTAACAGGGAAATCCATTATATGAGTATACAACACAAAATCATTGAAGCAAAGCACAACACCTATGTAGCTCTACATGAACACTTTGACAGGGATGTCGCATCTATTTTGACTACATTGGGAATTTTATATTATGTTTTTTCTTCATGGTTGGCAGAAAAACACATGAAGAAATTTACAAATTTATAGGTGCTTCAGGATATGATTATAAGGATAAACGATAAAATAATCTACTGACAGATCACCAAAGGCATGCTTCGTTATATTTATTAAATATTCCAGTTTGTTAGGGCCTCCATATCCATCAACTTACTAGAAAATTCAGAAGGTGTTTAACATCAAATACCTTCCAGCGATGTCTGTATAGAGGGACATTAAACAAAAAATCAGAAGGTGTCAACACCACAAGTACCGATTCAGTTGCCCATAAAGGGAAGTTAGCAGATACATAGCCATGTCGTTCAATTCTATTGCCCCCACGTAGCTCTCAAGAACTTCCTCTTCCCCGTGTCTACTATAAAGCTGTAGATCTCTCATCCATCTGTTGTTATTTAGCCCTCTCCAGAATAGTTGTACCAACAACTTCATCCTCTGTCAGTGTCAGCCAAAAAGGTCGGCCACAAAAATGAAAAGGCTAACAATATCAATGTTTGACATTATCACTGGTCTTTGCCTCGTGTTAGTCACGAACATCACATTCTGCTAGCCGTATGAGCATTATCGATATGCTCAAGCTAAGCACATGCTCATCGTTCACAGTAGAACCATTGAAGCTTCTGTCTTATGTATAATAATTATGTCATTTACTCTGATACCCGCGAATAAACAAATAGGATGAACAATGAAATCATGAATCCTTCTTTTTAAATCGTCATTTGAGATTTATTAAGACCTTGTGAATTGCTAGTGCTCTTCCTTGAAACCTGTCATTAGTTTCTGAGTAGTTCAGCAGGATCTCACGATCAAACATTTTGAGAATCACAGTGAGTCAAGTCTAGCAAACTCTTTAGGGCGATGCAAGAGCCAAAAATCAGCGAGTCGTTACGCTTCAATAGTTCATCCAACATGGGGGTAGGTTGCGGCGTGATTGAAACTACGGTCTTAGGATTTCTGCACAGCTTCTGGAGTGTGGAGTTCATTCCTACTTCAAAGTAGAAAACCCCACTGATCTCAAGTTTCTTTGTTAGGACGCTGGTGCGGAAACCTGAACCCAACTCCTAGATTCGGCACCAGCAACACTAAAACCTACTTGTGCCCAGGTCAAGATTGTTTGTTACTAGTTCAATGTGCATCTAAATTTTTTATTAGTACTCAGGATTCACAAACCGCTAGCCAGAAGCCCAGAACCACAATTAAAACAGCATTCCAGAAATCTCCCTATGTGATTCAGGCCAGGCCAATCAAATCGGTGTCCCCAAATTCTTCAGGTCAATTGTTTGTGCCAGACAGACGAGGCGCAGCCAGATCCACCAAAGTATAGCAAAATAAATTGAGCAAACAGCCCATGGTCATGAGCAGCGATCAGAATTCGGGATTCCAGATAGATTAATTGGGCGCGGGGGTGGGCTGGTGGATGGTGGTCGGGTATAGTGGCACGCAACAGGTGTGGGCGGCTGAGGAGGGGGGGCGGGTGCGGCGACGGCGGGTACCTGGATGGTGAGGGCGGCGGCGGCGGCGCGGCGGAGGTGGCTGCGGAGCTGGCGCTCCTCGGAGACCTTCTGCAGCAGCGCGTCGCGGGTGATCTCCCTGGCGCTGGACCCCCTCAGCGACACCTGCGGGCAAACTGCTTAGGTCGGGCAGGGAACGGGCGGAGGAGGGCGAGAGGGGAGGGGGTGGGTACCTGGCGGTGGCCGGAGGGCGGGACCGACATCGCCGGCGGCGAGGAGGTGGAGGTGGAGGGAGGCTGCTTCTGCATCCCGTGGCGCATGAGCCGAGAGAGAGAGACAGATGGACGCGTCCGCCCGCGAGTGGGCTGTCTGTCGTCGCTAGGCCGAGACCCGGTCTGAGAAGGAAATTGCATAGTCTCTCTCAAAAAAATTGAATAATAATTTTCCTTTAAATAACGTCAGATTTTTAGGCACGGCAAATCACTTATTATGAAAAATTATATTATCATGAGTATGGCAATTTCTTTAACAATTGTGACGAATCCTTTCCGTGTTCATTTTTTTTGCCAGCAATTGTCATGCTCGCTATAAAAATGTCATCCTCGTGACAACATAATTTGTCATAAAAAATATTCAATTTTCCATGTCTAAAAGTCTGATATCAGTTTTTTTTTACATAGTACAACACACACAGGCGCAGGCATCATCGCCATGTACGCGTGCACACAAATCTTAGACTACCCACAGTGGGAGTAACATAGGTAGTAACATAACACATATCTAGATAAAATGGCAAGCAATAAATGAAGAAAAAGAGGCATGTGGTAACATAGCTAGTTACTACTAGTATGAGTAACATCACACATATCAAGGCAAGATAAGTCTATAGCATAATAAATGAAGTGTTGCATGTTACCACACATATGTTACTCCCCACTATAGAGGTAGTAACTTAGATTAGTAACATGGGCATGTTACTACCCATTGTGGCTAGTCTTACCCCTATGAGCACCTTTGGAAGACCGAGCCGCCATGCCTTAAGTTTGACCAAAAGAAATTGAATAATCACAACAATTTAATGCCACGTCTTGTGATTTTCCCATTTTATAATGTAGTGTGTGTGGATTATTTTCTAAAACCACGATTCATCAACTTTGATCAAGTTTGCAAAAAAAAAATGTACATCTATGATATATACAAAATAAATACCATTATATACATCAGAAGATATACTTGCATATTGTATTTATGTATTTATTTGTTATTATTTATTGTTGGGATATTTTTCTCAATAAGCCTTGTCAATCTCTAAATGGTTTGACTTTTGAAAATGACACAAACACTACAATTATGGAGTTGACGGAGCTGCACTTGTTTTCACACTGATTTCTCATCATGTATCCAGATGGCATATATACATATGCAAATACAGGGAACAAATACACCTGACGACACGATTCACCGTATCGCTATCGCAAAGGGCAGACAAATGATAGGCTGATGTGCTAGGGCAGTTGTTAGTCAGACAAGAGTACACACAACTGCATAAGTCTATTTTGGGAGGGGCACAAAGGAGGCAAAAAAAGAGAAAGGCTCGGCGAACAAGCGAACAAACTAACTTCCCTTCAGAATCAGAAAAAGCAACCCGGGAGTCCCACGAAAGACCAAGATCGTAAAACGATCGATCAATGTGATTATGCAAATGCGCTGCTCGCAAAGGGCAGCCGAATGTAACACCTCGAATGCCAACATCGTGTCGATTCGATCAGACGCTCTTATGTTAATTACGTACATATCTGGCGCTGGCAATCAGTATTTTGATGTACACTTGATGACAATCAGTATTCCTGATTAGCGGATCCTGTGTTTCGTGAATTTTGGCTACACAAGATGAATTCGGGGTCTTTTGGGTTCGATGATCAAATGCTGATGTAAATTATTCTGACTGCGCTTTCGGCGCTCCTTCCATCGCAGCAGCAGTTGCGTTTGCAGTCACACTGTTATCCATGCTGCAAAAGACGAGAGAGAGAGTCAGAGTTAATCGATTGCCTGAATCACTTGAAAAGGAAGCAACGGGGCGTGCTCACGCTTCGCCGTTGCTTGGAGCGACGTCGTAGTTGTTTGGAGCTGGCAGTGCTTTGACATCGGTTCCGGTCTGACACTGGGCGACAGCAGCGTTGCACTAAGAGGGGCATGGAAGATTCAGGGTTCGTTAGGTATGCATAAAAAGCAGCGATCACCCAATGGATGATCAATAGTGATGATGAAGAAACGAACCTGCTCAATTGCAAGCATAGGAGCTTCAACTTTTGCCTTGGAGCAACTTCTCAGGGTGCCCTGCATAAAATCCAATATACAGAAATAAATAGCTGCAAGTCCAAAATGGCAGAACCAACAAGCGCAAGTATGATGAAGTCAGAAAAAGATAATTAAATCTTGAAACTGAAGACAGGTCATTGCACGGAGAATCACCACCACCTATTTCTATGATTCTTTCCGCTCTTAAGTAGAGACAATAGCAGCACATGAGTAACTTGTCTAACACTGCTAAAACGATGAAAAAGATAGGGTCCATTTCTTTTCATATGTAACAGTTTATTTCCTTTCTGCAAGCTTATTTATGGTTCTGACGTCTCGCAGCCATAGAAACCTCGGAGCTTTTCTACTGAAGCAAGTGTATCGGCATATCACATACCTCCATGACTACAGGAAGTAACAAGGGAGAAACTGAAAACTAAATATGTGACAACTTCAACAGGCAGCATAGTTGAATTAACCATGTCTTCATGACTCGGTTGAAATATTCAATGGATCCTTATCCACCAAGTTGCTAACAAGCATGCACCATTGCTGCAAGTCCACAACACTGGGACAAGATGACAGAACAAAGTCGCATTAACATGTGCCCTGTGACACCATCACAGCAAGCATGGTGTTAAGATGACGTTGTTAAGACATGGTTATTTCAATTTGCAACCACACAATGCAACTCCACCTCCATTGAAATATTACTGTGTTTGCTAAAGCATGAAAGGCATATAAAGGGGTTGTTTAGGACATTAAGAAAGAAGAAAAAAAAACATGCATCATACTGTATCTATCAGAAAGGAAGAAAAAATAACAGTCTAGCATGTTAAGGATGAGATTGTACCTTGTTGGCCCACATCAGTCCACAAGCATTGCACAAAGTCCTTGGACCAGCTGGACCACGACGCATTGCCGGTGTCATCTTTTCACTAGTGCCACAATTCTGACACCTGTAACAAGTATGATACGGGGAAAAGGGGTCATCCCTTTCCCGTTCAATAACATAACGACAGAAAAAGTGGATCAAGTGATCAAAGATAAGACAACTTTGATTCTCGAGACAGGAAATCTTGGCCTGAGCCCTGGGAGACAGGATCACAGCCTGGAGAAGGGGACTCCCCCTCCAAATTCGCTCTTCCAACAAATTGCCCCTTCCGACGCTGCATCCTGAGAGATTAGTTAGAAATATGAGCATCAAATTCTTAAGACATGCGATGTTCCTTACAACTAATTGCTACTTGAAGTTGGAACCATGGCTTGACGTCTGATGTATAGGATCTATCTTCCCCTTTTGTACCTCATAGGAACCACTATATTCCCCAACCTAGCCTCTAGCCAGCCATGCCTTGCTTGCAGCATCTACCCTGATGATCACAGACCTCTATATTCCTCAACAAACATGCAGTATGCTATCAGACAGTGGCATATGGCAACCATCATGCCAACCAAGGTCTCAGCTTTTCTTCCTTGTGAATATTTGTTGGATCAAATTTTGACCAAGCAAATACAAGATAGAACAAATTGTGTGGTTCCCTTGGTTGAAGATTTAGGACAAACTAAGATGGATAAGACAACATGTTCAAATGAACTAAAGCCTAAGGAAACATTGTGGGCCACAATATCTCCTCCAATTACAAATATAATGCTTCGAAACTACAGCATTTTTCATACTTAACTGTCAAAATGGATGTAAACTTTAACATATCTGTGTACATCATTTACAGTGTCTTGTTTTTTTCAAGAATGGTAAGGTGGATACTTGTGAATATATATCCACACAAAGGAGCACAAAATAACTGTAAAAAAATAAAGGCCCGGAGAACAGATGACAGCTTACTAGACTCCTTCAGCAAGCAAAAGAAAGATAACACAAAACCCTGCTTCCTACCTTTTCTGAAGGAAAATTTTTACTCTGGAAACTAATTTTGTATGCGATCTTTTTTAAACTCGGGTATCCAGCATTTTTTTAATATATTCCCTTTGTCAAGGTATCAAAAAATCCGTCTGTGCTTTCCAAGGAAAGGAGGGTTATGTCAAAATTTAGAAGACCGAATACATACAGTACATAAGGACCTATTACAGAACTGGTCATCTTAGAATCACTTCTTGCAAGGTCACCTGGTTTCGAAGCATGAATGGCATGGGTCTGATTAAGCAGTAGGCACAACAATGATATGGGTCTGATTAAGCAGTAGGCACAACAATGATATGGGTCTGATTAAGCAGTAGGCACAACAATGATATGGGTCTGACTAATGCAGTAACTAATGAATTAGTTCCTCGATAGATATAATGATAAGGATTATGACTGATCCAAAATAAACTAAATACCGATGCCATGGTGCATGGTTCATTCACAGCTTTACTGATAATACTTGGTGGTACAATAGACAACTGACAAATCTGGCAGGCTAGGTACAAACCTGTGTGCCACTTCTTTGCGTACAGCATAGCGTATTTGCTTATCAAAATTTCTCCCCTTGCGTTTTTCGCGGAACCTGATGAGTGAAGCAACCCTTTTTGCAGGAATGTCTGTCCTCTGAAGTAAATCCTCATAACCCTGCACAAGAATGCTAACATTACATCATAAAGGGACAAACATTGTTGATTAACATATATGCAGCCGAGTAATTTCCACGTACCCTATTTTCACGTTGACTGGGTAAAACCATGGCAGATAAACCCGGTGGAATTTCACCAGTTCCTAACAGTAACAGGACAGCTTGAACCTGGAAAAAGGACTTCAACTTAGATAAAACAGAACAGCACGAAGGAGCACCAAATTAAAATCTGGATATAACAACAGATTTTTCTATATACCTGGATATAGGTAATACTCCCTCCGTTCCTAAATATAAGTCTTTGTAGAGATTCCACTATGGACTATATACGAAACAAAATGAGTGAATCTACACTCTAAAATGCATCTACATACATCCGTATGTGGTCCATAGTGAAATCTCTACAGAGGCTTACATTTAGGAACGGAGGGAGTATCAAGTATGGCCATACCAACTAATAATTACAAATCCCTCTTAAAAAACAACTAAAAAGTGTCATTACAAGCCATCATCTACTTGGCTTACAGCTAGTTATGGCAAGAAACCCTATGAGTTGATAGCAAACTGCCAAAAGTGGCAAGGACTAATGCTTCTGCCAGTGGTACAGTACGGAAGTAACCCATTATTGTGAGCTACTGAGGTTATGTACTGTTCAATTCATAAAAACTAGCCTAGTTTCCTATAGGCATCATTGAAGTTGATAATTCTGTGGCTATTCAAATCCCACGTGACCAAGGAAAATATTTTCAAGTTCTAACCACCAAAACAAATAGCATCATACTACCAATCTGAGCCATTTGTTTCGGCCGATGTAACTGAACTCGTCACCGTAAGCAAGCGGTGAGATATGCACAGAACAGCTGCACTAACCCTGATCAATTATACAGTAACACGCCTTGCTAGAATGATTAAACTGAAAATTCTCAACATCAAATTAAGTATTCAATCCCCGCGCATGAGTGTCAAACGCATCAATTTGCTAGCTCGGTCGCGTGAGATTTTCGCTTCCATGTAACATGAATGAACACAGAGCGAGGGGGGAGGAGACCTTGTCAGGGGTGACGGACTCGAAGACGTAGACCTCGCCCTGGAACAGCAGCGTCAGCTGGTTCGGGTTCCCCGGAAAGGCCGAGACCGGTTCTGGGGCCGCCGGCGACGGCGGCTCCTCGGCAGGTGGCAGCTCCTCCTCCTCCTCCTCCTCCTCCTCTTCCAACTCATCGTCCTCCTCCTCTTCCTCCTCCGCGTCGTCCTCGTCGCCGGCTGCCGCGGCGGCGTCGCGCATCTCGGCGTCGGGCCCCTGGGCGGAGGCCGGGTCGGACATGGCCGGTGGTGGCGGGGCTCACGCAACCCTAGATGGGGAAATGGAAGGTGGTGATGCGGCGCGGGCAGCTTGTCTAGTTCGTGAAACGTGTGGTGATGCGATGGAATAGGCGTGTGGGATCACTCTCTTTTTCCACGTTTCATTTTGCTTGGGATTGCTTTTGTGTACAAAATGATACCACAAACTAAAACATTTATTATTGCTCCTTCATTTTGCTTGGTCGCTTTATGTACAAAATGTTATGGCGTTGTATAAAGTCAAACTTTATAAACTTTCATAGAATTTACAGAGAAAAATATTAACATATACAATAAAAAATCAATACTCCTTCCGTCCGAAAAAGCATGTCACCGTGACAATTTTGCAAACGACGCACTCCTCCCCGCTCGTCTCCCCCGCCGGAGCCCCCCTGCTCGAATCCCCCCGCAGTTTCCGCGTGCGTCGCCATAGATTCCCCGGGCCTCGCCGGAGCTCCGACCTCCTCCAACAGAAGCCGCGGACCACCGCCGCAGCTGCCATGCTCCACCACCGCCACAGCTCCCATGTTCCTCGACGCCGCAACTTTCTCCTCCGCTGCTCCGTCCTGCTCGCGCAGCTCCCGCTCGCTTGCCTCCCCTAGCTTCCCCCCTCCCTAGTGACCATTGTGCTCTGCTCCGGCTGATATATGGTGGTTGCGAGGCGGAACGCGCCGGATCCGGGCCACCACCGGCAGGAGACGACAGGAGACGTAGCCAACGAGCCCCACGACAGCAAGCTCCCCCTTGCGTGCTCGATGAGGAATACGGCGGCGGCGACGACGTCTTCTTGGTAAGTTATGCCTCCCCCTTCAATTCCCCTCCATGATTTATGTGTCAAAACTGATTTTTGTACTGAAATTGTTGGTAGAGATTCTACTGAAATTGTTGGTAGAGATTCTAGAGGAATTGTTCGACAGGCTACTGAAATCTTATTGTTCGACAGACTACTAAAATTTTTGATAGAGACGACGGTAAATTCTGATGGTGGTGTAAGTATGGAATGTGGTTGAAGAATGAAAAGGGTAATAGGGGAGGAAGATTTTAGAGATAGAAGAAGATTGTTTCACAAAAGTGTAAGTATCCATGTTGTGTTGGTTTATTGTTATCTTTGTATAGGTGTCTGTCACCTTGAGTAGAAGAATTGTATGTTCAATTGCATGAGCCAAGTAAGTAAAAGAAGCACATAATAAAACCCACAGCTTGGTTAGACAAGGTAAATCCCTTGCTCGTCCTGAAGGCAACTGGGTGGTACCTGGAATGCGCCTGTTCATCCCAGATTGGATTAAATCCCAGGCACTGAACAGAGGCGCCTCCTGTAATCATGTTACTGAATTCATTCTGTAGTTCGTGCAGATCAAACTCCTGATGAGGTACTATAAGGTACTATAAGTCATTATATTTTTCTCGAATCACCAAATATATGACCATGTGTCAAGGCCTTAAATTTTCATTGTGTGAAACTATTTTCAACTGGGGATGGAATAGGGTGACCACATCGAGGCCACGATTCACATGACGGGAGGCTTTGTACCGCCACCTAGCGCATGTGCCTGGTAGATTATCTATCTTTAGAGTACAATGGAAGGAGTTCAAGCCTTATCACTACTAGGGAAAATCTTATAGGTAGATGCTTATCCATAGCGCTGGTTACTACGGCGCGCTACTGCTAACTAGTAGTAGCGCGTGCTGAAAACAAGCGCTACAGGTTACGAAGTATCAGTAGCGCGGCCTTGATAACATGCGCTACTGCTAAGCGTTCCCATCGCAACTAATAGCGGCTACCAGTAGTGGTAGCGTTGGTCGTAAACCCGCGCTATGTTGATCAACCATGTCTACAGGGTGTTGTATGCTAGGCTTTCTCCGGTCCAAAAGGCTGAGGCGGAGAAAGAGTATTAGGCTTTAGCTAGTAGAAAGGCTGAGGTGGAGAAATAGTGTTAGGCTTTAGCTAGTAAAAAGGCTGAGCTGAATAGCAGCAGGAAGTTTCCTAGTAGTAGATAGGAATGTGCTATGCATGTTCATAGTAGTAGCACCGTAAGTGCCATCCGGGTCCTATAAAAGGAGCTGCTCCCCATCGGTTGTAAGCAGGAGAAGAAGCAATCAAAAGTTTAGTAGTATTACCACTACAACCAGCCTCACTTAGAAGTAGTACGTGAGTATTTTTCAAAGTGAGTGTGTGTGTGTGTGTGCGCTCTTCACTCGTGTCTTACTAGCTTGCACTGGCTGCAAATTAGTTCTTTTCTTCTGCTTCGCTTGATCGTCGGCTAGCTACGCTGTAGTTTGGGCTAACACGCTAGTACTAAACCGTTACCAATAGCGCTTATTTGCCGCGCCGCTATTGCTACGTGTGCACGGGCCAACGGGTGGGCCCCATTTAGCAGTAGCGCCGGCCTGCACGGCAGCGCTACTGCTATTCTCTTTAGTAGTAGCGCATATTCTAGACCCATGCTACTGCTAAGTCTATCTTATCTCACCCACGCGCGGCCCTCACTCTCCCTCTCCACTCTCCATCTCCATCTACATCCCCATCGCTGTCGGCGCTGCCGCCCGTCGCTACTGCCGCGTTTGTCGCCCGCTGCTGCCTCCTTCGCCCCCCGGTATGTCTCCTTCCCTCCCTCCGACCGTCCTTCCTCCTCCATCCCTCCCTCCCTCCCTCCCTCCGACCATGTCCCTCCTCGCTCTCCCTCCCTCCCTCCCACCATCTCCCTCGGACCCTCAACCTCCATCCCTCCCTCCCTCCCTCCCTCCCTCCTGCATTGCATAATGGGTGGATGAAATTAGTTTTTTAATGGTTGGATAGATAGATGGATAGACAGATGGATTAAACTAGGTTTTTTTAGTAATGCTTTGGATAGATATATGGATGGATGGATAGTTGTTAGGGTTAGAAGTAGGGTATATTTGTTTTACCACTTTGGGACAAATTTCTTTTAAAGCATATTGGCATAACGATTCATAAGCTCTCAAACAAATATAAGTGAAGAACGAGAGCACAAGTTTCTTTAAAGTTTTCACTCTCAAAATTATTTAAGTGAAACAAGAGAGGATTTCTTAAAAATTCTACGAACTCTAAAATAAATCTAAGTGAAGCATGAGAGCAAATTTCTTCAAAATAAACAGCACCACCATGCTCAAAAAGATATAAGTGAAGCACTAGAGCAATTCCATAGCTCGCAAAAAAATTAAGTGAAGCATATGAGCAATTCTAGCAAGTCATAGCATATTTTTGGCTCTCTCAAATAGGTGTGTCCAGCAAGGATAATTGTGACAAAATAGCAAACAAAACAAGCAAAGACTCTTATCATACAAGACACTCCAAGCAAAACTTATAATATGTGACGAATGAAAATATAGCTTCAAGTAAAATACCGATGGTCGTTAGAAGAAAGAGGGGATGCCACTCGGGGCGTCCCCAAGCTTAGTCGCTTGATACGTCTTGAACATTATCTTGGGGTGTCATGGGCATCCCCAAACTTAGCCTTTTGCTACTTATTCCTTCATCCATCGTGATCTCACCCAAAACTTGAAAACTTCAATCACACAAAACTCAACAAAAACCTTCGTAAGATCCGTTAGTGTAAATAAAAAAATCACTACTTTAAGTATTGTAGGAAACCCATTCTTATTTTGTAATTGCATTATATCTACTGTATTTTAGCTTTTCCATGGCAAAAACCCTTCAAAGAAAACCATAGATGCATCAAAACAAGCACAACGAAAACAGAATCTGTCAAAAACAGAACAGTCTTTAGTAATCTGTACTACTTCGAAACTTCCCGACCTCCAAAAATTCTGAAAAAATGGGACGACGTGAAATATTTGTATACCAATCCAGTAAAAAAAGAATCAATTAAAAATCACTTTCCAGTAATTTTTGATGATTTTTTTACTGGGCGCAAAAGTTTCTGTTTTTTACTGGATCAGAACCAACGTTTCTCCCACATCTCCTAAAGGTCTTACTTGGCACAAACACAAATAAAAAGAAAAAAACTACATCATAACAGAAGTTTAATGATGCATTTATTCAAGAACAGCAATAAAACCCAAAATAAAAAGGATAACTATTGGGTTGCCTCCCAACAAGCGCTATTGTTTTACGCCCCTAGCTAGGAATAACGCATAGATCTCAAGTGTTGTCATCCTTGTTGGATGATCCATTGGTTGCCCTCATTATAGATTTAGGGCAATTTGATCTTAGTTCTAGGGAAGTGTTCCATACCCTTCCTCAAGGGGAACTGAAATTAATATTCCCTTCCTTCATATCAATCACGGCACCAATAGTGCGTAAAAACGGTCTACCAAAAATAATAGGACAAGACGGATTGCAATCAATATCAAGAACAATAAGGTCTGTGGGCATATAATTCCTATTTACAAAAATAAGAACATCATTAATTCTTCCCAAAGGATTTTTAACAGTAGAATCTGCCAAGTGCAAATTAAGAGAACATTCTTCAATATCGGTAAGATCAAGCACATCACAAGAGATTTCAAAATTGTGGAAACACTAGCACCCAAATCACACAAAGCAAAGCACTCATAATTTTTAATCTTGACTTTGATAGTTGTTTCCCACTCATCATATAATTTTCTAAGAATCAAAACCTCTAACTCCAACTTTTCTTCTAAAGATTTTATTACCGCTTCGGAGATGTGTTTAGTAAAAGACTTATTTTGTTCATAAGCATAAGGTGAATTCACCATAGACTGCAGCAAATAAATACATTCAACCAAAGAGCAACTCTGAAAATTAAAGTCTTTGTAATCCAAAAGAGTGGGCACATCACTAGTTAAAGTTTTGACCTCTTCCAACCCACTTTTTTCAACAAAATTTTCAACAAGAATTTCACCCTCCGAATCATCCGGACGCCTTCTAGCTAAAGTTGAATCTTCTTCAGTCCCGTTATTATTAATTTTATCCTTACTAAACCAAGAAACAAGAGAAGAAACACCAATCATCTTAAGATCTTCATTATTTTCATGAAA